GGTTTGTGTTGCTCAGTCCCGCCTACACTGGTCACAACTACCAAGCTGACCAATCACAGAGCTTGCACTACACGTTGTTGCGGCATGTGTATAGTTTTTTAAATGGTGCACGTCAGCATCAGCCATGAAAAGGCCTATGCGAACATGCGAAAGCTGCGCCGAAACGTGTGCGCTTGACGCACAAGTATAAATCAGCCTTCACACAGGGTTTACTCACATTTTGTAAGTAAAGTCAACTTGTCGCAATTAAGGCAATGGGTTTACTCACATTTATAAAGTGAATAATCACCTTTTACAGTGCACTTAATATTTCTTATTTTAATTGGAACAGATCGTAAATACTTTGTAAAAAAAAAAAATAATAAGTTTTTCACCTTTTTTCGCCAAAAGCTTTTACCTTTATTTGTTTAGGACAGTAGAGATTTTACAGACAGGAAAGTGTGGGCAGCAGAGATAGGGGAAGGATTGGCAAAGGGCCTCGAGCCAGGAATCGAACTCGACTCACCCCAGTGCTGTGTGTTAACGTGCTAACCACTAGGCCAGGGGTGCTACTTCTAAAATGACCACTTCAAAATGATCTACCTAATCTAAAAATGCAAAACATATGCTTATTTATGGTCATATTGACATTTCTGTATTTGTACAATATATAGACCATTTCAATGTGGTGATGTCATTGGCCCATGAACATTTCCTGCTCGTTGTCAAACTCTTTATTAACTGTAGCAAGAGGCAATTCAATCATAACTTTATGTTAAAACACCTGTCATAAAATTATTTATCAATATCTGGACTTTTTTGGTTCTCGGAAGCTATAGAAATTCTAAATGTAAAACACGAAATGCATTTAGATGATGTATTATAAAATAGTCGATATTAATGTACCTTGCATAACTGTATGAAGTCATATTGTGCAATAGCCTACAACTCCTATTTGTGTCATTACCTTACTTTGATGACTTTCACTGAATGTAATCAGCAAGGGAAGCATAGTCCAGACAGTAGCTGCTGATAGCCAGCCTCAAGCACACTACCAAATGATCATCAGTCATGGTGGAACAATATTCGTAATTAACAGCGCCAACTTCGCTAAGTGCTGGAAAACTATGGCCGCTATAGTTTTGCAGGACTTAGCAGAGTTGGCACGGTTTTAAGAGCAATATGGATACCCATGCTTCAGAAAAGGTCAGATATCAGACAGGCTGCCCTGTATGTCAACCAAGCGACGAATTTCAGTGAGATTGGATGAAAGGCTAACATCTATTATTATTATTATTTTTTTAAATACCATGCTATCTTGCTTTGCAATCGACCGGTAGATCGAGATCAACATATTAAGCTCCCCTGCGCTAGGCTATTGGTGCTGACATGTTGTAAAATTTGTACATAAATCTGAAACTGGTTTCCAAAATATTTGCATTTGACAAAAAGTCAGCATGATTTATAAAGTTTTCTCCTTGCAAATTGTGCAAGAAGGATATTATGTAATGTTGCGTATATTCTCAGCCTTCGTGTTTTAAGAATTACCCATCCAACCGTTGTTCTTTTACAATGCAACATTCTTAAACACTTAAACCTTTACTCCAGCATTAATCTCCATGAGTCAGTTCAGAGCTGGAGGCTGTGCTGTTTTTTGACAGTCAAATCCCTTCAAGCAAATAACCCGAATATCTACAGAACTACAAGTGCACTTGGAAGGAGCTGACAAATTCACACTTCCTGCACCTGGTTCATGGATCAGCGCTCCTCAACTGGGGGAACGGGAATAATTTTAGCCTCCTCACAATAGGAACAGAATAGCGCAGACCCCCTCGCAAGTGTTTATTTATAATGCACCAATGGTGGCGGGTTATTTTCCAAGGATCTTTCTTGAGTGCACTTGGTTCCCGGGGGAAGGAATGGGGCGGGAGGTCTCGTCCTTGGTATCTAAATCTGATTTGGGAAGACCATATCAAGTTTGAGGTTCACATGGACAGTAATTCCAATTGTATTCGACTAGTTTGTTGCACCTACTCCCAACCAAATCCCATTCCTTTTACACACATTTGAGGAGTTCAGATGTTAGAACCTCTGATATTTTCTTCTAAAATTGGTGTAGGTTTAGTAATTTCACCCTTTATGCCAACAAATAGGTTCTTTTCACTACATTCAAAGTGAAATAACAGAACGTAAACACATGGCTGAGAAAGGTGCTCATTTTAGAGGACATTCGGACGGTATTTAGAGGTTTTTGCATCTGAATTCTTCATTTGTTTGCTTCGGGGTCAGACAATAACACAAAAAGCGAACAACGCCCTTTTACCCAAAGCTACCCTGTTTTCCTGGGTGGTACATTGGAAAATCACCACTTCAAAAGAAGAGATTGCTCCATTGAATTCTTTGCTTTAAACAATTCCAGCAAGTTGCTTGGCTAGTTTGAGCTTAGCGTTCAACCTTTCTCCTAATGTAAATTCACAGGCTGCTTTTGTGTTCTCAGAGTGGATGAAAAAGTACAGGAGGAACTGGAATTGGCCCAGTGAGTGTTCAGTGTTTTTTTTTTTTCTCTGCCACGGACCATCGGCACATTCCGTTTGTATTGTTACCCTGCTGTGTTTCCTGCAGCCTATTGCTTTTGTCCATGTCGTGCCCATTGTTTAAACTTCCTTTGTTCTTTCTCTGTAACAATGGGCATTTTTATATATATGGAGAGAGAGAGAGCGAAACAAAAAGGGAGAGATTCATTTTCCCTGTTGTGTTTGTTTTCTTTGGGCTGTCTTGTGTTTCTTTTGTGCTGATTGGAGAAGGGGGTTGTGGAGAGGTGTTTATAGACCTCGGCTAATTTTGAAGTCGCCTTTCTTTCTTGTCCGTCTCTTCCCTCTTGTCCTTCAATGCAGAAGGCTTTCGTGTGCTACTTGAGACGGCCAGATACTTGATGGGCACACTAGAGTCTTGCATCTGTTTTCTGACTGTGTGTTGACAGACTCGCACACAAGCACACACACACACACACACACACACACACACACAAATATCCTCTCTCGGCTACTGAGTCTAGGAGACCCTGAAGAAGTGGTTTGGGTGAAAGAGTTTGAATGGGGCGGCCTGTGTCTGAGCTCCACAAAAACCCTTCTGTTCCTTATGCAAAGCAGTCAGCTGTGTGTGTTTTTGGGTGGTTTCTCCTTTCTTCCCAGACAGTAGCAGGACAAAACCAAAATACTCTTTGTTGAGCACTCTGCATTGTCTTCAAAATTTTCTTGCAGAAATTTTGAATTCTACAAGTTAATGTAATTTTCAGAGAATTTAATGAGAATGGCATAGGGCGTTATTTGACTATTTATCTGGGATTTTTGGCATCGTGATGACTTTTTTGGTTGATCTGATCTAACAGTAGATGGAGACACATTCATGTTCATAACTGGTGTTTTAATCTTTCTTTTCAGCACAAATTAAGTTCACTTGTCAATTAGGGCTTGGCAGTTTAAACAGTAAAGCTCATATGATAAAGTTTTCTCTTGTTAAGATTGAAATAGTTTTTCATTTACATTTTTAAACTGTTTATGTTTTAAACTCAAAGGTGCTGCAAATTTGCTGAACACGGGCTGTTCGTGTGAATCATAAGTTAAGGTAGTTGTCTAGATATGGTTTGGTCTTAATTCTCGGATCGGTCACACAACCAGCTCAAAAAAGCTCAAATACAAAAATCCTGAAGATTTAGTTTAAAGTCTGATATAACTAACCAGGAGAAAAGCTGCACCATAAACCAGTTTAAAATCAATTCCATACATTTACTGTAGTACCAGGCTATGATATCCATCTGCTGACTGCAAGACGGGGGGCGTAACATGAAGGGGGCATAACTTGTAGTAAGTTAGAGGCATAACTTGCAGTTTTCAAGATCCCACTGAACCATACAAGATGTCACAATGAGATGTTGTTGGCAAGATGGTGGAAATATTTAACAGAGAACATTTTCACCAAATGTTTTCATGAGATTTCTCCAAATTTATCCACAACCAGTTCAGTTTATATGTTATTCATTCATTTAGCAACTCCTCCATCCACTCGCTGACTTCATCTGTTTTGTCATGACAGTCAGACTCTGCATTGCCCCTTGTGGTTGCAAATAACAGTACAATGGCGTGCACATCAAGTATGAAGGTTTCCGCAACTCGCAGCTGTACGTTAAACTAATTTGGGTTTAGGGTTAGGGAAGGTGTAGACGTTAACTGTGATGGTTGGGTTTAGGGTTGGAAAAGGTGTAGACGTTAATAACTGTGATGTTTGGGTTAAGGGTTATGGTGGGTGTACACATTAATAACTTTGATGGTTGGGTTTAGGGTTAAGGGAAATTGTAGACATTAATAACTGTGATGGTTGGGAAAGGTGTAGACTTTAATAGCTGTGATGGTTGGGTTAAGGGTTGGAAAAGGTGTAGACTTTAATAGCTGTGATGGTTGGGAAAGGTGTAGTCTTTAATAGCTGTGATGGTTGGGTTAAGGGTTGGGGAAGGTGTAGATGTTATTAACTGTGATGGTTTGGTTTAGGTTCGTGAAAGGTGTAGATGTTAACAACTGTGATGGTTGGGTTTAGGGTTGGGAAAGGTGTAGACGGTAATAACTGTGATGGTAAGGTTTAGGGTTGGGAAAGGTGTAGACGTTTAAAACTGTAATGGTTGGGTTGGGGTTGGGGAAGGTGTAGATGTTAATAACTGTGATGGTTGGGGAAGGTGTAGATTTTTAATATCTGTGTTGGTTGGGTTTAGGGTTGGAGAAGGTGTAGACATTAATAACTGTGATGGTTGGGAAAGGTGTAGATGTTAATAACTGTGATGGTTGGGTTTAGGGTAGGGGAAGGTGTAGATGTTAATAACTGTTATGGTTGGGTCTTTCATTGATATGAAAAAGTTGACTTCCAAAATATCAATTCTATAAATATTTTAGACTAAAGACTTTTCAAAGTTGGAGCAAGTTTATTTAGATTAACATTCACTGATGATTGTTATGTTATATTTGCTTTTGCAGAATGTGTGAGCCCAGTCCACCTGCTTTACATCCCCATGCCAAGGGCAATGTGACCATGGTTGGTGTTGGTATCAAGCTTGAAGACGATGAGTCGGGAGGTCGAATAGTCAATCGGGAATCCCAGCAGTCCTCTCCGCTCTCCGATTGGTCGGCTCGACTGCCCTCCGACAGAGATGACTCTGAGAAGTCAGCGAATGTTCATGCACAATCTCCTTTGGTATGACATAGTGTATTTAGTATTGGCAGCGAGCACCTTAATGTCAAAACAAACTAAAATTGAGATTAAATTAAAAAATGCAAATCAGACCTAGACGTCTATTTGACATTCACAAATTGATGCAACTTATAAAAGGAATTTTTGCATAATAGGTCCCCTTTAATATCAAAACGACATAAAAAAAAAGCTAATCGATTTGATGTCAAAATCTTGATGTCTATTTGACATCCACACATTGATGCCCTTTTGACCATAATAAGTTTCGTTCATCTGAAAGCTTCATTTCCAAATTTACAGTGGGTTTTGTATCCCTACAATAGACATCAAATTGACATCTAACATTGGCAAAAACACGTCAAAAATCAGTTAGAGGTCTGTCCATAATCAATATTTGATGTGCTTTTTGATTGATCCCCTTTTGAACACTATAATAACATCAAAAATGTTGCATTCTGAAAGCTTTAATTCCAAACTTACAGTGGGTTTTTCTATCCCTAAAGTAGACCTTGGATAGACGTCAAATTGACATCCAACATTGGTGTCAAAAACCACATCAAAATTTAATTACAGGAATGTCCATAATCAATATTTGATGTATTTTGATGCCATTGTTATATATCAGTTTGATTTCCAAAAGGATTTGCATTTTTGACTTTGTTTTGTGATGTCGTTTTGACATCAAGGTGCCCACGGGGTTGTCCAAAATCCATATTTGATGTGCTTTTTTGATTGATCCTCTTTTGACCACCATAATAACAACACAAAAACTATTTTATATTATAAGAAGTTTAATTTATCTGAAAACTTCAATTACAAATTTAGAGTGGATTTTCTTATCCCTAAAATAGACCTCAGGTAGACATCAAATTGACATCCAACATTGATGTCAAAAAACAAATCAAAATTCAATTACAGGTTCAATTACAAAATCAATATTTGATTTGCTTTTTGGATTGATCCCCTATGAAACACCATAGTAACGTCCAAAAAGTATTATAACATAAGAAGTTTCATTCTTCTGAAAGCTGCAATTTCAAATTTTCCTATCCCTAAAATAGACCTCAGACAGATGTCAAATTGACATCCAACATTGGTGTCAAAAACACATAAACAAAATTCAGTTACAGGACTGTTTGATTTGCTTTTTGATTAATCCCCTTTTGAACACCATAATAAAAACACAAAAACTGTTATAAAATAAGAAGTTTTGTTCATCTGAAAGCTTCAATTACAAATTTTTCATTTACAAAGTGGATTTGTTTATCCCTAAGACAGACCTAAAATAGACCGCAGATAGATGTTAAATTAACATCCAGCATTGGTGTCGAAAGATAAATATTCTATTACAGGACTGTCCATAATCAATATTTGATGCATTTTTTTATGTGAATGTAAAATGTAAGTTCGATATGTTAAAGAATTTGCATTTTTGACTTTGTTTTGTGATGTCGTTTTGACATCACGCTGAGTTGTCCGTAATCAATATTTGATGTGCTTTTTTGATTGGTGCCCTTTTAACCCCCATAAAACAACACTAAAACTGTTATAATATAAGAAGTTTTATTCATCTGAAAGCTTCAATTACAAATTTACAGTGGATTTTGTATCCCTATAATAGACGTCAAATTGACATCTAACATTAACATAAAAAAACATCACAAATCAACAACAGGGCTGTCTGTAATCAATATTTAATGTGCTTTATGTTTGATGCGCTTTTGACAACCATAATAAAAACACAAAAACTATTACAACATAAGAAGTTTCATTCATGTAAAAGCTTCAATTCCGATTTTACAGTGGATATTTTTTTTTATCCTTAAGATAGACCTAAAATAGACCTCAGATAGACGTCAATTTGACATTCAACATTGGCATCAAAATAACATGTCAAAAATCAATTACAGACTTGTTTTTTTATGTTGTTTTCACATCAGGTGTCCCGCTGGGTTGTTCTTATGAACTGGCCCCTTGATACACATCTTCATGTTTAAGTCAAACGTTTTCTTATATCTCTGTTTATAGGAGCGTTCTCCGAGTAAAGACCTGCTACTGTCACACTCTCCTGCCAGTCAAGATGGAGGCGGCAGAGCCCATGATAAGATTGAGAGCAAACCTAATGTCAATGAGGGTATGTGGACCTGATTCTTTACAAATATTAAGTCTCCATCTAGGGCCATTAGTGTACTTTCACTTGATCCGTGGCGTTCATTGTTTTCGGATGTTTCAAGGCTGTTGTTTTTGAGGGTTTGAAAGATGTTTTTTACTTTCATTTTAATTGGAAACTTACGCAAGTGGTTCGTGCGAGCAATTAAGAGTCGATCATTGTTGATGCAGTCTATAATGCAATGATCCAAATGTTCCTTTTGTTTCAAGTTCTATGAAGCTTTTCAATGATTTCAATTGTATGATACATTTCATAGCTATTGTGAAATTTTCCAGCGGTTATTAAAGAGTCCTCGAGTGCTTTCTCAAAAGGCTTTTTTGCTTTGTTTTCGCACATTCAGTGGAGTTGTTTAATTTTCTGCTTTCTTTTGGTATTGCTGAGGTTTTAAGCTCAAGGATTTTTGAAATGCAGTGTTTTGCTCATCTACTGTAGATGAAGTGTTTTATATTGTCTCGCTCTGAGCCTGTTTGTCTCAGTGAATATGCAGTATTTAAAACTGTAAGAAAATCTGTTTTATCAAATTATTGAAATTCTTTTAGACCTCTTAATGTACAGTTTTAATTACAATTAGTCAAGCTTTTTTGTTTCAAATCTTTTTTAGTGATGCCCACTATTGAAAAGCTTCTGAATACAGACTGGAAAGAAAAGTTCCTTGGGAAGGGTCTTCAAGGCAATGTCAACCTAAAAGGTACATGTATCCCTTTATTTACATGAGTTGTAGACGTGATGTTGAGTTTTTACTGTCACACATGACTAAAAAGAATATGAATAGCTTTGTCATAATTTAAAATGCAGTAAATGGTTATGTATATTTTCTTCCATGGCCTTCCTTCCTTTTTCTTTCTATCTTGTTATAAAAAGCGCTGTGTTATTAAATTAAAAACCTTTTTTGAGCCAAATCTCAACACTGTCATATGGTGTGACTGTTGCAAGTACAACAGATTAAAAAGAAAATGGTAAAATCAAGACTGAAAACACATCTGTTTAGCTGTGCCTTTACTGAATGAGCACTGTGCTGTGTCTTACAGATTGCACGATTTTGTCTTTCTCTTCTTTTTCGTTAGTTTTGTAACCTGTTTTAACACATTATAATTTGTTTTTATTCATTTTTAATGTTTTTATTTTCTTGTTTCTTTTATTCTTGTTTATGTAAAGCACTTTGAATTACTAGTGTGTATGAAATGGGCTATATAAATAAACTCACCTTGCCTTGCCTAAAATCATCATTTTTCAAGTGGCTGTTTTAGTGAAAGGCAATCATTATTTTCATCTATATATTTCTGAAAACATAGGAACTTGATATGTTTTGTCCCCCACGACCTGTTATAAAAACGTATAATTATTATAATAAAAAATTTTGTGCCAAATTTCAAAACTGTCCTATGGTGTGACTCGCAAATATAGTGCAATACATTAAAAAGAAAATTGTAAAGTCATTCATAAATACATCAGGCTTCATTTTCCAAGTGGCTGTTTAGTGAAAGGCAATCATTTTTTTGTCTTCCATGACCTGTTATAAAAATTATTATTTATTGTTTTGTTTTAATTTAAGGCAAATCTCAAAACTGTCCTATGGTCACAAGTATAGTATAATAATAAAATAGTAAAAGTAAATGTCAATCTTTTTTTAATCCATCTAATTTTAAAAACAAAGAAAGTTGACACATTTTGTCACTTAAATCATGTGCTCTGATGTGATACTATATGCTAATTAAAAATCGTCAATTGAACTGACAACTTTAATTGGTTAAAGGACCACATTTAAGAGTATAGACCATGACCTGCACCTGTAAAGTTTGTCTCAGATTTTTATTTTTATTTTTTTTTTTACATATTTAACTGTTTGGAACCACTTTAAAATGACATTTTGTTGTCCTCAGGTGTGATACCCCTATTTATTAAAAATGCCCTATAAGTCATAGAGAGAAAAAAATATTATTCATAGTTTCCCATAAAGTAAATAGCACTTTATGAATGTATTTGTCCAACGAGGAAGATAAATTGATCTCATGCCTTTCTTTATAGTGTTAAGGGTCGTTTTTCTGCATTTTTCTTATGTCACACCATAGGAATTATTGAAATAATTGATAAAGTTAGTGATCCTTATATGTCCACCGATATCAGACTTCAAACTAGATAAATAAAACTACACTATTGACCTTTTCTGCCATGTGGAAGTGCGCTCGTTTTTGCTATTTGTTTTAGTACTTTTGATTCAGCTACCTATGGGAGAAATGACTATAGGAATAATAACCTGTCAAAACAGTTAAACTGTTTTGATTATACATGATTATACATAACAAGTGGAATAATATAAGAAAATATCAGTTTGCAACATTAAGAGCATAACAAGCATACACTCTACTATACTATACGATACCAGGCCATACCATATTATGATACTATACTACACTATACTATCGGATACCACACTATACTATAAGATTCTATACTATACGATATTATACTATGACCCATTACACTATACTACACTATATTATATCCTATACTATACAATACTATACTACACGATACTATACAATACTACACGATACTATACTACACTATCGATACTATACTACACTATCGATACTATACTACACTATCGATACTATACTACACGAAACTATACTATACAATACTACACGATACTATACTACACTATACGATGCAATACGATACTATACTACTCTATACTACACGATACGATACGTCACAACCAAATATACTACACTACACAATACTACACTACACAATTCTATACTACACGATACTATACTGCATAATACTATACTACACTACATGATTCTATACAATACTACACTACATGATACTATACAATACAATGCGATACTATACTATATACTACACTGATACGATATGTCACAACACAATACTATACTACACAACACTACTACACTATACCATACTACACTATACTAGACTACACCACACAATACTACACTACACGATACTATACAATACTATATTATACCATATGATATACTATACTACACGATACTATACTATATTATACTATACGATATACTATACTACACTATGCTTTATGATACTATACAACACGATACTGTACTACACAATGCAATACAATACTACACGATACTACTCTGATACGATACGACGCAACACAATACTATACCACACTATACTATACGACACTATACTACACTACATGATACTACACTACAGGATGTTGCATTACTGTACTATAATTATGCTATTTTTTTTTCTTCAACAATTTTGCTTTTCAAATGAAAGCCGATTTGTCAACTCCTCAAATGTGCTCATTTCCATTAGTTCCTCTCACTTTTATGCATCACTCCTTACTGACCACCAGCATGTGCATATGTTTACAGGAACCCCAGAGAGTTTGGCAGAGAAAGAGCTTCAGTTGTTGCTGATGATAAACCAGCTCTCTGGTCTGCGCGAGCAGCTGTTAGGAGCTCATTCAGAGCAGAGGAACATGGCAGCTCTTCTGCTGGAGAAACAGCAGCAACAGATGGAACTGGCAAGACAGCAGCAAGAACAGGTGTGGAAATGCTTTTAATTGAGCCAGTGACAAAGGAAAAAAATAAGTGTTTGAGGGCTATGCTAACAGTGCAAGGACAGAAGTGTTTTTTAAACAGGAAGGCTAATGCATGAATTAGTTTGGTTTCTAAAAGCTAATTCTATGTTTTTAGATTGCAAAGCAGCAGCAGCAGCTCATACAGCAGCAACATAAAATCAACTTGCTGCAGCAGCAGATTCAGGTGAGGTTTAAGGTCATGATTGAAATGTTGAAGCTTACTTTAATGTATGAACTACTTGAAAACGAGGAAGTAGTTCACCTATGTACAGTATATGCTTTAATTGGATTGTTCACCAAAAAATGATGATTTACTGACTATTCACCCTTGAAAGGTTGCACGCTAGGGCTGCACGACATTAGAAAAATCTAGCATTGCGTTATTTTGATATTCTGTGATTTATATATTATGATTGAATTATAAGATGACTTGAATATCTCTCTTTGAAAATAATTTTAGAGGATAATTTTGGAGGGGAGTGCATCTGCATGAAAATCTAACAAATAATAAACAAGCATAGATAAATATAATAAAGAAAAAGATACAATTGAAATAAATGTGTTTTTTATTTGTTTATCAAGTCTAACAGTATTCAGGTCGGTAACTGAACAGTAAAAATAATTCGATAAAATGAATCGTCATTGATGTTACAGAGGGTACCATTTCTGATGCCTGACTGCTTTTAAAATGAGTATAGTCACAGGCCTCAATTTTTTAAATCCAGACCAGACCTGGGCATTTTACGGCCCCTGGGCCACTGGACTTCTTTGATCGGCCCGCATGAAGTATTTATTTAATTTAAATTCAACCATAAACAGGGTCTTGCAATGCGCAGGTCTGATTTTATGAGTCAACGAAAGGGGAATTTAGCGTCTTTCAAAAGTTCTAAACATTTCAGAGTGCCATGAGCAAAGCAAGTGACAGAAACCAACCAAGCAGCTTCACACTTAGTATGGAATTACAATTACACTGTAATAAAGGTAGACTAATTACCTCAGATTAACAATTTAACAAATCCAGATAAAGATCCTCTGTCAGTGATGATCATTACATCACATATCCACCTCACATTCAACCTGACTTCAGTGCACTTGTTCAGCCAAACACAGGCTAGAATTATCTCACTGAACATAAAAATAACAAATAAATACAAATTAACTAAGGTAAAACAATCCAACAAACAACCCTGTGGCATTTATATGAATCTGATATTGTGATACTGGACTTTAAAATACTTTAAAGAGTGTTTTTTTTTTTTTTATTGAATAGTTTCACAAAACATTTGTTCTGGCCCTCTAAAGCCACCCCCGAGTCTAATGTGCCCCTTTGGAAAAATTAATTGCCCACCCCTGATCCAGACTCGGTGCATATACTACGATGTGATTATTGTGAATGATCACATTGGAAAATTGTGAGTCATATTTTTGAGAGGATCTATTCTGGTGAACGCAAAAGAAGATATTTTGAAGAATGTTGGTAGGTTGTAGTCGAAACCGAAAATACCATGCCAAGTCAATAAAAGACAACCTACAAATTTGGAACAAGTCAAGTTTGAGTATTAATTTTGTTAAATTTAATTTAAATTTTTGTAATTTCAGCACTAAATTTGTCATTGTCATTCACTTTTTTTTTACTTGCCTATTTGTGAGTTGAATTTGTGTTTTTAATTGTTGAATATTTTCAATGTTTTTGACTTGTATTATTTTGTTATATTTTTATCCTCTGGATAGTGAAACACTCTGAAAATTAGGTTTTGAAGGCGCTATATAAAAATAAGTTATTATTTGCTCATTAAGTTGGGGCAACACGATAGCTTAGTGGTTAGCACTTTCGTTTCACAGCAAGAAGGTCGCTGGTTTAAGTCCCAGCTGGGTCAGTTAGCATTTCTGTGTGGAGTTTGCATGTTCTTCCCATGTTAGCATGGGTTTTCTCCGCCGCAGTCCAAAGACATGCGCTATAGGTGAATTGGATGAACTAAATTGTTCGTAGTGTATGAATGTGAATGAGTGTGTATGGATGTTTCCCAATACTAGCTTTCAGCTGGAATGGCATCCGCTGTATAAAACATATACTGAATAAGTTTGCAGTTCATTCCACTGTGGAGACCCCTGATGAATAAAGGGACTAAGCCAAAGGAAAATGAATGAATGCTAATTAAGTTTTTTTCTTCTGTAAATACAAGTGAAGACGTTTTGAAAAATGTTGAACTTCATAGCCATTGACTTCTGTAGTACTTATTTTATGGTAATACATTTTCATGGTATTCCTACCATGAATATCAATTGTTACCAATTTCTACCATTCCTTAAATGATCTTCTTTGGAAGCACATAACATTTTGGAGCCACTTGAGAGTGAATAAATAGTGAGTAAATATTTAATTTTTGGGTGAACTATCAAGGAAGAAATTGACGTGTCATTATGACAGTGGGTAAATAAAACCTTTTGGGTGAATAGTTCATTTGAGACTTGCTGTACAGAGTGGAAACACAATTATTATAATGTTGGTGACTTATTTGTTCTGTCATCTCTGACTCAGCAGGTAAACATGCCATATGTTATGATCCCTGCCTTTCACCCCAATGCCCAGCCATTGCCGGTCACCTCTGAAGCCCAGATGGGTTTACCTCTGCAGCCCATTCCCTGCAAACCAGGTGAGCTTGACCAAAACCTCAAGAAAACATCCACAACGGAGTGTAAAGCTTGCCTGTCCAGATATAAGCATAAAAAACCTACATATTGTCATATTGTTAGCCTTTTCAATTCGAACACAGGATCCAGCCATCTGTTATCCTCATATGGATCAAATAGCATCTGTCAAAAATCTCTAAATAATTGACTTCAAATATTATCCTTTGTCGATCTTTTGAAAAGGTGTTTGCTCTTGCGCCTTTCAGCACAAGCTTATCAGCTGTGCTTTGTATTTTAGTTAATAAGTAGCAAAGAGCAAAGCTGAACCGAAAGAGTTAATATGCCATTCTGTGCTGAAGGAAATAAAACATGGCATTGTAGAAGTGTATTAACTGCAAAAGAACTTGTACTTTTATAAACGCGTGTTCTTCTGAAGGTCTGTTTTGTAATGCAAGTAGTTATTGCGCCGCGCATTGATGGTTTTCTCATGTCTTTGATCCACTTAGAAAGAAAGACTCATTGAAAGATCTGCCCGAGTGATTTTTCTTGCACGTCCGCTGAAGAATGGCTCAGGGTTGGCCATTGAATTAGAGTGCATATTGATCACGTAAAATCCTGAGCGGGTTCTTTGCATTGACATCTGTGATGTACGGCGCTGTGCCCTTGCTCGGTTAAAAGACTCCTGTGAACGCACAACTTTGATGCTGTATGCATGTACTCCATTCGGTTAGAAGATGAAGGGTGGAAGGAAAGAACCGGGAACAATAGGACAAGTGTACGAGCTAGTCAGCTAACAGCATGCTCGACAATCAAGCCGTCTTTGTAAAGAAACCAGGAGTAGAGGGCCAAGGACGCAAGCGAATCTGAGCTCAAAGAGTTTATCCAGCTGGTAAATTAGAGATGTTCTCAGGCGATAAGCAATTTGCGGTGCTGTACATCTTAGATTCTTCAAAGTCATTAAGTATGCTGACCATTTGTTCTGATAGCAAGTTCAGATATTATGATTTGCATTGAAAAATGTTAAATGTTGAATTCTTACATCCAATTTATGGTTTGACCACAAGATTAGACAAATAAAAACATTGACCTTCCCTGAAATCTGATAGTTGAGCAAGTCCAGTTGGGATTGGGTTGGGTTGTAGATATCTAGTATGTTCACTGACCTTTTCTGTTCATAAATCCTTCATATTCCAATCTTTACATTCTACTTTTGGGTTTTTAGTGGAATACCCCATGCAGTTGCTGCCCAATCCACACTCCACCCCTGTCAAAAGGTCCAGTGGTACAGTCTATCGCCAGGTAAACCTTTCTAGCATTGCATCTGATCTCTGATGTTTCACTTTGTTGTACTTCTTACTGACACTTACAATCACTTTGTGCACCAGGACACCAGCCAACCTCTCAACCTCACCGCTAAACCCAAGACCCCAAGTCCTCAGGCTCTGGAACTGGCACATTTGCAGTCAGGGTATCGACACAGAGATTTGCCCCAAAGCCCTCCTCGATCTGCTCTCAGCCTGAGTATGTAATGATACATCACATTATTACTGTACATCCAGTCTCTAACAGAACAGTGTGATTGGGAGGTTTAAGCAGTGCTATCCCAGCAGGTACACAACAGCAAAAGATGTTAAAATTTGACTAGATTTAGGTTGTGATGTCAGGTGACCAAAATTCAATGTCAAGCCATTTAAGGACAGAGTTATTTTGTTGTTGTGTTGGAAAGTTACCAAAATCCAATGTTGAGGCAGTATTTTAAACCAGCGTCATATTGACGTCACATACGTCACATTCGTCAGGTATGGCAACCAAAATCCAACGTCTGATAGACGTCATAGTGGTAACGTCAACACAACATCAAGCTGTAACATCATTAGACGTTGATATTTGGTTGATATTAGGTTGGACATTGAGTGCTGATGTCAACCTGATTTTCATTTCCAAAGAAAATGCAACATCCTCATGATGCTGAGGTGCAATTCAACCCATTTCATATTTATTTATTAAGCAATTTTTACAATTTAGATTGTGTCAAATGAGCTTAACATAGTTCTAGTAAAGTCCAGATTTCAGAGTTGAAGTTCAGTTCAGTGTGGTTTAAATTTCACTGCTGAAAGTTCAAACACTGAAGAGCAAATCCATCGATGCGCAGCTCCACAATTCCCGATCTGAGCAAGCCAGTAATGACAGTGACGAAGAAAAAAAACTTCACCAATTGACGAAAGTGAAGGCCAAACTTTGATGCGTATTAAGAAATACATTGTGGAAAAAAACGCAGTACAATTTGGAATCAGTAAAGCAGTGATGCTTTGTTCTCTCTCCCTTCTTCAAAAAAGAAAAAGGAAATATTAAGTTCATCCAATCAACTGCACTGAGAGACTCTCGAAATTAATTTCTTGAAATCAGTGGTGTTTTTTTATATTTATAATACTTGCTCATTTTAATATTAATAATACGTGCAAAAATGTTCTATAAATGAAGACATGTAGTACATCAAAGGTATTGACGCATGTGCCAGGTAGGCTTGGGCGGTATCCAAATTTTGACACGCCAAACCTCCTCCCTATTTTACCTCGGTATCCGCTATTACCGTCCATAATAAAAAAAATGTATGATGTAAGGCTCAGACAGCGTCACCAAACTGTTGGCTTGTGCCTAAACCATTCAAAAACTGAATACTGTATATGCGACCTTTGGTTCTGTGCGGGACGCTCTCTCTCATTCACACACATAGAGAGAGCACCAAGCGACACAGCTTTACGCTCTTCCTCATACACACACACATAGCACCAAAGCGGATGCCCTCATGCTCGCTTACTCAGGAGCGATATTTTTTTGACCACATGCCTGCTCCCGTGTTTTATTTGGAAATTTATTCCTGCACCGCAAGAAACCTGGTCAGGTCCTGCGGTACAGGAGTGGGAATGCAAACATCTAGTGTGTATTTAGTGTCTAAATTGGAAATACTGCAGGTCACATGGTGCGCGACTCGCCTTACCTCACCTCTCTCTCTCTCCTCCTCACTGTCCTGTGATGACAATCACGCATACGCATTTGTAGTCATTAAATAAATACTATTTATTATATAATACTTGTTTCCTATTTAAGTGCATTGTTTTTTATGACGGTATAACAGTATTGAAACTGACACCGTTGCTATTTTTAGATCCCGCAGTATACCATATTACCGCCCAAGCCTAGTGCCAGGCAATGAAATCAGCATACAGTAGGCTACAGCAGTGGTTCTTAACAATCCAAAACATTTTTTCTGTATATTCCGCACTTTGTCACACAGTGCTGCAAGTGAAAGCATTTTAGATTTAATTCTTCTCGTAGAGTGGCTCTGAACTATTTTAAACACCTCTCAACACACTCCTTACAGATGCAAAAAAAGCCAATCCATTTTTATATCAACAGACTAAAGTTTTAGAGGCAGTGTAAATGTGTTTGACAACCTGAGGTTGAATGCATTTTTTATTGTGAAAACATTTCTGGTGAAAATGTCGGACTCAAGTGTGTATTTCATTTTCACAACAAGTTCCACAATGTATTCCTTTACTGTCAGATGGGTCATAAAATATCTCTAGCACTTTAAGTCATGCTGACTGTAGTTCTCCCGCTGAGCTGTCACACCATTTTTAAAAGCGGGAAGTCCTTAAGAGCTCACATACAAAAGCAGCTCTTTCTGCACCCTGTTAGGAAGTACCCATCTCAGGGTTCCCACTGCCAAAATACTTTCCCAAGTATTAACAGCAGTTGTCGCAGTAGAGAAAACCTGTTTCGAAGCAGCCCATGAGAACGTGTCAGCACCTCAGACATGACTGTTTGTCTTAAGCCTTTGGACTGAAGACCGGGGACTCGTCCGGGATCAGATCATATACTTGGGATCGAGCCAAGCGCTTTATTTGTGCATCACAAGACGGGGAGGGATAAACGTATCTCTCTTGACCTTGTCTAAGGTTTCCTTTCTCTCTCACCCTTTCACTCTCCAGGCTTCTTGGGAGAGGGTGATGTTGTGACACAAGCCATTCATGATGCCCAGCAGCTGTTGCGTGGAGGACAGAGCTCAACGGGCCGAGAGAGGGACAACAACACAAGGCTGGTGAGTCCACGTCTTAGCGCGCACAAACCAATACGCTCTCACATACTCCACACCCCAGTTTTTCAAGGTTTCTCAGCGGCACCTGGGGCTCGCTGTTTGTCACCATTGGTCAGGCTTCAAGGCTGGAGCATAGGGGCAAGTAGCCATTAATGATCCGCTCTTGAAACACCCACTGCAGAAACTCCTTTTTCGGCAGTATAGCCCACAAAGCACACACAAACAGACTCAGGGACAGTTCCTTTCCCAGAACCATAGGTGCTCTAAATATAAGTATGTAAATGACCCAACAATTATCACAGACTGCACTGTATAATAATATTAATGCAATCCATTTCACATGAGCTACAGACTTTAACACGTGCAATCTCATTGTGACACTTTATTTATTATTTTTACTGTTTACATGACATGTTCTACATATTTTTGACTAACTTCAAGCAGCACTCTATAATTTTGTCTTATGCTTGTATATGATTTAGACCAGTCATTTCATTTTCTTCGACTATATTGTAAACTTTTTCTGAGTTGTTTAGATTTTTAAAAATTAATTATTCAATGTTTCTCTCGCTCTTACGACGCGCACAGTCAGTTGCAAAGCCCAGCGAAAGCAGGCTTAAGTAAAAAGCTAATGCAAAAAGGCATACAAGCTTTATAAAGTGAAAGTAAAAGTTGAATCCCGGATATTTAATCAAATTTAAAATCCGGGCCGGACTTATTTTTTAAGTACCAAAAAGGTGCATCTCTGTGGGTCTTGCGAGCATGTGAGACTGTCTGTGGGAGTGTTGACAGGTCTCGTGCACGCAGAACGAAACGGGTAAACGAGAGAAGATTTTCCACTACTTAATCAATCGTGGATGTTTGGTTATTGAGCAGATACATAAAAAACAAATTAATAAAATTAAACAGATGTTAATAACAGTAAAAAGACATGAAATAAAAAAAAAATGTGTCACTAAATATAGTTGGCCGGCTGTTATTTAACCTGAGCAGCCAGCCCAAGTAAAGTCTATGTATGGCAAGCACTGTGTTATGATTGTTTTAAAATGAATCACCTTTTTTGTTTCTTTCTTTGTCAGTAAAACATAAAGTTAGGTGTTTAACCACATATTTAGCTTAATTACAATCTGAGACATAATTTAAGACCATCTTAAGACTTATTTTAGCTGTAACAACTTGTCATAAGTTTGCTGTTTAAAAATAAAAGCTCATGTGCATTTATATTTGTTCTTTAGTGACAATATATTTTGCTTTGTGGCAGTAAACTTCAGTATTTTGAGAAGCAACAAGCAATAATTTTGCATTAAAACTACTGACAAGTCTTAATTTAATACAAAATTGTGTACAAAATGTGGGATACTGATTTGTAAACGGTGTTATATTCAAATCAAGACATGACAGTAGGTATAGCACAAAATGTATTACTTGTTGCATCTCAAAATACTGACATTTACTGCCACAAAACATAACAAAATATAGTCACTAAAGAACAATTAAGTGTAATCAAGCTTTTATTTTTTTTAAATGGACACACTTTAAACAAGTTATAACAGCTCAAATACAGTATATATATATTTGTATGTATACACACACGTTTAAAAACTTTGGCTCATAAGACAGAAAGACAATTTAAGAGTCTAGCGTCACTCCTGTTTAGTTAAGTCCATTTCATACAAAATAAAAGCAAATCTCAAGAAATTAACAAGCTAGTCTGAAGATAACTAGGAAATACTAGAACTAGGATCACACTGTTTGGAATAAATGTTATAGTCCTTATTTTAAGACATTATTTTCTCATCTAAGCCTTCTTATTCCAAGAAGTACAAGTACAATTATCTTACTGCACTCACTGGCTGATAATAAGTCTCATTTCCAGTCAGTATCTTCTTAAATGACTAATTTCTCATATTTTGATGGTCATTTTTTTGCAATACCCCTCTTTCAGAACACCCACTGTGTTACAGGAGAAGAGGGCCGGTCAGGGTCAGCAATGGATATTGGTTTACAGACGTGATATCAACTAAACAAGGGCCACATTCCCCTTTCAGCCAAGAACAGCTGCTATTGGAGTCTTAGCACAATGTTCACTTGTTTGTATACGTGGCGATTGTGGAATAGTCTCTGTAGACACCTGTTTCGACAACCACTTTGTTGGTCCTTTTGAGTTCAGTTTAACCGCAGGGAGATATGACAGTGATTTTCGCCTTTGTTGTCGGCTGGCTTTTCAAGCATTCCACTTAAACCTGTTTTTACAGCTTGACACTTGTTAAAAAAAAAACTGTCTTGAGTATGCTGGTAGACACGGACAACAATACCGAGTCATTTAAAAGAGAGAATAGTAGAGTTCATTTATGTCTGAATTTCAAAATTAGATTTAACAAGCGCTAAAATGTCCCCGGGGCCCTATGTGCTTCTCAGCATAGGTGTGGCTGAGACGCTTTTGTATGTTGACCAGCTTCTGTAGCAACAATGCCAACTTATTCAATCGCTGTGCCAAATAAATGAATGCCATGATGCCATTTATGCCTGTCTTATTTAAGATCTGTCTGTTGTCTGATCCTAAGGAGGCATCTCGAGACCGGATGGATGATGGTCATAGTCGGACAAATGAAGACCACCACAGCAGTGATTCTGAGGGTATGTATCGGTCAAGATGGCCGACTCGTGTATTTAGATTAGATTAATTTTCTAAAACACATCCACATGGTTCCCACGCTTCTTGAAAGTATTTGAATTTCAGATATATAGATCAGAGGTGCTTAACCCTGTTCCTGGAGATCTACCTACCTGCAAATTTCAGTTGCAAACCTGATTAAACACACCTGTCTGTCATTATCTAGTGCTGTTCAGGTCTTATTTAATTGGTTCAGGTGTGTTTGATAATGGTGGGCATAGCAAGACTTTATGAAGCACTGAAACAGTCAAAGCAAATGTGTGGAAGTTACGAATCGTTTTGAAACCCATCTCTACAGTGACACCTAGTGTTAATTTTTTTATGTATTGCTCAGCTTCAGCAAAAAAACAGTTGAGCAAATTGAGGTACTAAACCCCAGGTTGTAGAGTTGACGCTTAAATTGATTTAGTGCAGAGGTGAGTTGCAGAGATAATGGGCTCGACTACAGGCTGATGCAGCTCAGATGTTAATTTTTAAATGCTCTGTTCTTGTAACATGTTTTGTTTTAACATTGGTCTGACATCTGAATCAACAGTTTGCGAATAAATATGTCTAGTTTTGGTCATAAAAAGTAACATTATTAAAATTCATCAAGCCATAATTTCGAAGTATTTCTAAGTCAGGATTTGAACTCGGACCACACGCACGCTCCACTAGGCTACATGAGTTATACGTTTTTTCCAACCCTGTCAGCCAAACGCAGATTCACCAGGTCTCAAAGCTCTTCTGAAATGATTGATGCTTTGAATCCAGTTTGAATCGCTTTCGTCACGTGACCTGGGGTTTCGAATCACTATAGTCACATGACTAAAGTGTTTTGAAACACCAGGTCACATGGCTAAAGCGATTCGAACACTTTAAAGTGTATCGAAACACCAGGTCACATGATTAGTCCCGTGACCTGGTGTTTCGAAACACTTATACACTTGACCTGGGTGTTTTAAATCACCTTAATCACATGACCTGGGTGTTTCAGTTCATGCTTTGGTGCAGTGTTTCGAAACACTTGCTATTCGGGATCTCGACACTGTAGAAACGTCAGCCATTCCTTGTTTTTGATCAGGGTTGGAGCTGTACTTTGCAGGAAGGTAGATCTCCAGGAAAATGGCTGAGCAGCCCTGATATAGATTCAAAGCCTAAAAAGTACTTAAACAAACATCGGTCCTTGAAAGTGCTTGAACTATAATTGAAGTAAAAAAATTTTGTGGTGGAATGTTAACAATTGCTGCTGACAAAAACATGAATAAATAAAATAAATTCAAACTGCATTTGAATATGACGAGAATTGAATTCCACAAATTTTATTAAAAGTCTTTGGACACGACTGTTTAAAAGGTCAACCTTTTTGAAAACTACTCTGACATTTATATAAATTTAACTGTAAGTGAATTGTTACAGAAAGTGCAATAAAGACTTTCATGGCACTATCTGCTGGGGCATGAAATACAAAGGCGATTGATTTAAAATTAGTGGTGCTCTTAAAAGTCTATAAAAATTCTTGAATCTGGTGTCCATGACAGTGTGGGAACCCTATATCCAAATCTATACACTGGAAGCACACTGCTTTTCCTCTTTGTAGTCCAAATATCTGAAAATGCTCAGATCAAAAAGCATTTTCTGGACAAGTAAAACGTTTGGTCTGATTTTCAGAAATAATATGTTTAAATTAAGTGAATTTTTCAAGCCCAAAACTAGATTATTGTTGGCAGATTGTTTAGCTGAGGACTCTCAGCTTAACTCTCAGAAATCTGACTTATAATTTCTGTAAATAAAACAGTGTTTTTTACTTGTCTAAAAAATGCTTCTTGACTTAGGAACTTGGTAGATAGTTGGACTAGAAACAAGACAAAAACTCTAAGTAAGAAAGGCTTTTATTTCCAATGTAGCCTTTCGCTATGGCTTCGTATCTTGAATGATGGTGTGTCATCTTAAAATAGATCCCTGCATTGTGTTCTGTTCTTTTGAGAAACTGTTTCAGTCTTACATAAACACCTCCTGAAACATGACCATCTCAGGATCCCGTCATCCCAATCTAATTATACATGGCTACAAGTGAAGACCCATTGGCTGACTAGTCACTTAAGGAAACACTTGTAATATGTGATTTCGATATAGTATGTCACTAGTAATAATTAAATTAGGTTGATCACACATATTTCAGCTTTGTGTGTTGTTTTTTTCCTTGATCAAATAAACAATTGCCTTATGAATGGGTGTGAATTTATGACCGTTTCAACTACAATAAAAAATCTCTTTGGCATGCAACAAACACAGATGCCACCTGCCTGTGTAATTGCATTTGGCTGTGGGGCGTGTAGTCAAACAAAAGGAAGTTATGTGTGTCTAGACTGATTGTTTTGTTTTTAATCTTGTTGTTCCCAACAGGGCAGATGGCAATCTCTGGGGTGGGAAGCTTTGGTGAATCCCGAACTCCCTCTTCTGGCCACATCAAACGTCCCATGAACGCCTTCATGGTGTGGGCCAAAGACGAAAGGCGACGTATCCTGCAGGCGTTCCCTGACATGCACAACTCCAGTATCAGCAAGATCCTCGGTAAGAGAGATGCAAGCTGCTGCTGCTTTTAATGAACAATTTGGCTGTGGCAAGGCATTTATCATTTATTTGTAGTACTGGACTGTATATATGTTGCGCTAATATGATCCGATCACTGCTGTATTTTAAATTAATGTTCATGTTGCGGTGGCTCAGTGGTTAGCACTGTCGCCTCATAGCAAGAAGGTCACTGGTTCAAGTCCCAGCTGAGTCAGTTGGCATTTCCGTGTGGAGTTTTTAAATTCTCCCCATGTTGGTGTGGGTTTCCCCCACAGACTTGCGCTATAGGTGAATTGGGTAAGCTAAATTGGCTATAATGTATAAGTGCGTGTGTGAATGCGAGAGTGTATGGGTGTTTCCCAGAAATGGGCTGTAGCTGGAAGGACATCCGCTTCGTAAAACATATATCGGAATAGCTAGTCGTGGTTCATTTCACTGTGGAGACCTGTTTCTTCTTTCTGATTGGCCAACATGGCTGGGTTCACACCAAACACGGTAGGCACAAATGAGGCTAATTCTGTACGTTTGTGCCATTACATGTCACGTATCTCATGTCGTTCGCACTGTGAGACTGTAATCTGCCTCTGTTCTCATGTTTGCATTGATTTATATGCAATTTATTTACAAAAATACTTAATTCCACGTTTGAATCCAGCACAAGTGTCATTAAATCTGCCTGACGGTTCGGCATGTCCATAATATGCATCACTGTGCATTTTTGCGTTTTTTTTATGTGAACTGAGATTTTCTATTTATAATAATTTTTTTGGTGGTTTTCAGCTTTATTTGATAGGAAAGTAGAGAGTATTGACAGGAAAGCGTGGGGAGCAGAGAGAGGGGAAGGATCGGCATAGGACCGCGAGGTGGGAATCGAACTCGGGTCACCGTGAACAGCGGAGTGCACGTGTCGACGCACTAACCACTACGCACTAACCACTACAGCCGACTTATTTATTTTTTTAAACGAAAGCGGAAAAAACTTAATTTATAATAATACCTGTGTACACTACCTGCCTAATATGTTATTGTTGATCCCAGTTGTAAGAGCAATAAATATTAACTTCTAGTCGATCATTTGGAAAAGTGGCAGAAGGTCGATTTTATTAATTTTTTCTCAATGAATCATCTGTTGAACTGCATCCCAATCATCACAAATACTGCAGAAGACCTACTGGAACCCGCATGGACCCAAGATTCTCACAGAAATCGGTCAAGTGAAGGAAAAATCATGGTTTGGGGTTACATTCAGTATGAGGATCGTGCGAGAGATCTAAAGAGTGGATGGCAACAACAACAGCCTGAGGTATCAAGACATTTGTGCTGCCCATTACATTACAAACCACAGGAGAGGGCAAATTCTTCAGCAGGATAGCGCTTCTTCTCATACTTCAGCCTCCACAACAAAGTTCCTGAAAGCAAAGAAGGTCAAGGTGCTCCAGGATTGGCCAGCCCAGTCAGTAGATATGAACATTATTGAGCATGTCTGGGGTAAGATGGAGAAGGCATTGAAGATGAATCCAAAGAATCTTGATGAACTCTGGGAGTCCTGTAAGAACGCTTTCTTTGCCATTCCAGATGACTTTATTAAAAAATTATTTGAGTCATTGCAGAGATGTATGGATGCAGTCCTCCAAGCTCATGGGAGTCAGACACCATATTTATTCTTTGTTTATTACACTTTGACTATATTCTATACTGTACATTATTTTTGACAAGACTTTTGTCTAAGCAAAGTCAGACCTTAATTCTAATTTAATATTTAAAACTCAAGGCATGATCATATTTAGTTTTGCTAAAATAAGCGTAATCTAGAGGTCTTTGCCTTTCATATTAGCCATTTCTGATACCAAATGATCAACTAGAAGTCAAGTTATTATTTGTTGTTCCTAAAACTTGGAAAGATGACAAAAGCAAAGAAAGATCAATTCATTTTAATTTATTTTTTCTAAAGTTAAGACAATAAATATTTTTTACTTTACTAGAAAATGCTTCTTGATTTAAGAATTTCTAGAAATTTAGAGTGGAAACAAGACAAACTGTTTTTTGCAGTGGACATAAATGATTGATGCAAGATGTGAGAAGTCATTTTAATTTGCATACTGTACTTGGTCTTAAACGACGAGAATTAACATACTTTAAATAGTTTTCTTGAGAAAGAATGAAATCTGTTGCTGCCAAATTCTTGTTACTAGAGTTTCCATCAGCAAAATGAAGTCTCTAGTGACTAATGCCTCTAATCCTTCCTCTTTGTGGATTCTGAAGCACCTGTTCTGTCAACATTGTCCTCATTGTTGTCTTTTTTTCATCCCTTACCCCTTTATCTTCCTGCCTGAGATCAGTTGTTTATTGTTGGGTTGGGCCGGGGGGTTATGGGAAAGGTGGGTTCATTATGCTCACAGCTAATCCTACAGTAGTGTCACTCTGTAAAACACGCCTGTATTTTCAAACATGTCACTTGCTGATGTCCTCTGGGGGGGGGGTGAAAAAAAGGTCATAGCAGGGCACATTCAGCCACCTGGCTCCTGGGGTGACAGGAAAACAACACCCAGAACTTCAGCCCCTTCATCCCTTGCTGCACCTCTGCCTTCCTCAGTTCTTTCCTTTCACAAAACACTCGCATTCCATTCCATTGTGGTGACACTGACACCCACCTGATTCAATTTTTTTCTCTTGAACATGGCCTGCAGTTCCTTCTGGTACACACCTATGTTTCTTTCAGTTTCTTGCCTTTTTAGCCTGCAGCACATTTACTGAAATGCAGCATTGCACGCATGCAGTCAATAAGCCAAATTCTTCCAATGTCAATGATTCTCAGCGTGTAGCCAATTAGGTCAGTCAGTTCTTCAGTTTAACTGATTGTTTTTGTTTCCTTTACATTTGCATTTCTTTTTCTTTCACCATATATTAAATCACTTCCTTGTCCTCGTGGAATTTCAACTCTCACCGACTCGGTGTGTTTTTCAGTGGTATTTGTGCAATTTTCAATGTAGGCAAAAGTATGTACAGTATATACTTCCTTATCATGATCTGGTTTGACTTGGATTTACAGAATAACAATGCACTCTTGATTTTTGCTGTTTGTTCAAACTTATCTTATTTAAAATGAGCTGAAAAGAACAATTCCTTCGTTTTTTTTGGAGACAACGTAATAATTTTTTCAAGTGATAAATTCAAGTGGGTTTAATTTACCAATAATGTCAAGACTGCATGATTTTAGCCCTGATTTTGACTTGCCGACAAGTTTTGAGAAATCGCAGATAAATGCCTGAAATCACTGGCAAATCGCTCCTTGTTCATGTAACAATCACGCAGTGTGAACGATCAAAGAAGCGGTCTGAGAGAATTGCCAATGAGTCGCCGACACCCCTGAGATATTTGATATCTGGACTTGTTGACGAATAAATCATGCCGTATGAAATGTGTTCTGATTGAAAATAACATCGGCAATTACCTACAGTACAGCCAATGAGAGAGCAGCATTTATTACTGGGTATCTGCAAGCAAGCGGCAGGTTGGGGAGAAGTTAAAAGAGCTAGTGAGAAAAAAGTAAGGAAAAACTAGCGGAAATTTGGCAGGAGCACCTGTGCCTTTATGATGTGTCATCTGAACAATACCACAACACAGTCGTTAAAGAAAAAAAGTTTATGAGAAATTGCTAATTCCCTTCAAATTCTTGGTGAGCAAAATAAGTACATTTTCTACCCCACTAAAAGCTTCTTTCTCATTATATAATTAATAACAAAAGTTATACTACGTCACCTCACGTTGTTTCCATGTCACTTCTTGGGTGTGTGGGTTTGTGTCACGATTTAGATTTTAAATCAAAATCGATCGAAATTTATGCTCAATTTTGCTTATCGAATCAAAAAATAGAATCGTCGATGCTGCCACGCCCCCATGTCACGTCAGCTTGGCTTGCCAAGCGGGAAAAAAACAGGCTTGTTGAAGTGCTTGTTAAACTGCAGAAGCAGGAGACCCGTCGACAGAACTTAAACCCTCTCCTCTTTCAATGAAGACGCCGGTGTGTAAGCATTTTGTATTTCCTGTAAGTTATGTTCACAGTTTTGCAAGCTCTGCTATGTACGGTTCGTCCGATAGACAACACCGGCATCGCAATCCTCCGCCCGCCCCCGTTGCATATCCGCTCGCGAAAAGTACACACTCAGGCCCTGTTCTTTGTTTTTAAATGGCATTTTAGAACGACAACGATTTGACATCCACAGTGGCGTGTAGCATTTCTGAGCAACCCCATGCAGGTCAGGTAGTTTGAAAAAGGTAGGCTACAAATAATTCATTGGTCATTTATTAATTATTCATAATCGAAAATCGAATTGAACCGTGCCTTTAGAATCGAAAATGTAATCGAATCGAGGATTTGGAGGATCGTGTCACCCTTAGTGTGTTTCTGTGTGTGTGTGTGTTTGGTTGTGAGACGTAGTTTGTGGATCAAGACAGTGTTGTCGGTGATTCTTCCTATTGTAAAGTCATGCAGTGTGAAACCCCACTGCTGCCAATCCATCTTGCAGTGTGAACACTGCACCGACAAAACCCCATATGGAGTGTGAAAACATCTGCGCAACTACATTGAAAATCTTGCAGTCTGAACTGGGCATAAGTTAGCTTAATCAATTTGTGTTGGAAAAACATGAAGGAATTGTGTGGAACACTGCATTTTTTACATTGTGTTTAAAAAAAACTGAAGTATTTCCTTCATGTTCTTATATATAGTCAAACGTAGTCAAAACTCTGTTCACATTGAGATGTGAAATAATAATAATAATAATAAAGTAATGCATGCCATACTAGAGGTTGGTGATGTTACTTTGTAAAAGGACAATATGGCCCTGATGCCCACCATAGTTATTTTGGTTGTCAAATACTCATATGTGTGCACATGACGCCTCCATTTGCACAAAATAACACTTTTGTTGTTCGCACAGCAATGATGATAATGATATTGTTTACAAAAGTCTGCACTTCTGCATTTTGTGGTCCTCAAAACACTTCATTTAAATGGATATAAATCACAAATTAAATTGAAAATCATTACTAAAAGGCAGTGTTAGGGTAACAGATTACAAGTAATGCGAGTTACGGAATAATATTACTTTTACGAGTAAAGTGGTTGCTGAATTAAAATTAAAGTAGTCACAAAGAATCACACAATGAGAGAATGGTTCAATATTTCGAACGCATCGAAAAAAAGGAAAAGGGGATTATAGTCACAATGGACAGTGATTTTACTTAAGACATAGTACAATAGTAGCAAACGTATTGCTTTAAACTTTCAATAATCTGAATATACACAGCATGTAGAGCTCTGGGGTCAGGAAGTTCTCAGATAACATTATCCTAAATAAAATGTATTGCTAAAAGGATTAAAGGTAAATGTAGATGTACATTAAACATTGCATTGTTAATTGCAGAGCTCCTCTATTAAAAAACTATCAAATAAAAAACAAGTCCTGAAAGACATCAAGCATCAGCCAGGTAATAAGCTACATACCTTAAAACAATTTCTTACCTTAATGTTATGCCTGTCTGCTCCTGCTTTAGGTTCCCGGTGGAAGTCCATGTCCAATCAGGAGAAGCAGCCGTACTATGAGGAGCAGGCCAGATTGAGTCGGCAACACCTGGAACGTTACCCAGATTACAAATACAAACCAAGGCCAAAGCGCACCTGTATTGTAGAGGGTAGACGACTGCGGGTGGGAGAGTACAAGGCCATGATGAAGAGCCGAAGACAGGAGCAACGAGTATCATACCCTCCAAGGTAAGGCCCACAAGCAAACTCAACATGACTTCATTTGTATTTGGTCGTAGTATTGTCCAAGGTATTGATATTCTGATGCATATTCATACTGAAATATTTGAGATCACCTTTTCAATAAAGAAAGATACTAAAGACACTAATAAATATGACCTTCATAGGCTGATTGAAGCGTTCTAAAATGATTATAGTTCACTACAGTATGTGATACTTTGTTCATTTATTCAGAGTTTTCTCGCAGCTGATGTTGTGGTTTTAGATTTATCAAATACCTTCAAAACACAACACCTGTCTTTTGAAAAGACCATTTTAAGAGAAAGTAAAGAGCTGGAGAATAACCTTTTAGTAACAGCAGGCGTTAACTTTAATCAGTAACCAAAGATGAATCACTGTTAGAGCCACTTGAGGAATCTTACGCACTGTTCTCATCTGTGTGTTTGTTAAGCTGTTTTTTGTGTTATTGGTTATTTCTATAAATATGCCAGCAGTTTATTCTTTAACAATAAGTTTGGAGTTAAACATTGTACAATTTCATAATTTGTTAGTCTAAAACAATGAGAGCAAAAATTAATAGAATTTTTTTATTATTGATAGAATATTTTTTTTATTTATACAGTTGAAATCAGATTAGCCCCCTGTGAATTTTTTTTCTTATAAATATTTCCCGAATGATGTTTAACAGAGCAAGGAATGTATTACCAGTGTATATCATGTATTCCTGCAGTCAATCAGAGCAGCAGTTGCCGTACCCACCCAGTGAAGGACAGTACCCTACCACACCTGTGTCCATGAGCACCCTGCCCCTGCACCCTGCCCTCCTGGAGCACTACCTGCCACGGGGTCTGGAGCCTCCGCAGGGTCGAGTCAGCGAGACGAGGGAGAGCGCCAGGCCAAGACAACCCTACAGTGAAGGAGAGGAGAGCGACGCTGGAGAACGCAGTGAAGGAGAGCTCGTCGTCCTCACCGACTGAGAAGAAACAACAGAAAAACCATTGGAGGACAGATAATAACGGTGGTGTCCAAATAATGGTGTAGCTCAGTGTTTTCCAGTCCAGTTATGAAGCTGTCCTTGCAAGCAGGTTTTAACTCTACCTGATAGGTCATTTTCAGATTGTAAGGAAGACAGAAGGCACGTATAGAGCTTAATTTTGGGCATGTTTAGACCAGGCATCTATGAAATGTCTTGATTATAGTCTGCAGAACTTTTTCAGTCTGCATTATTCACTGTATTTGCGTCAGATCTTTCAGAACTGTGGCGCAGAGTAGTTTTTAATTCATTGAATGCCACTGCGCTTATCATGAAGTAAATGGCTAACACTTTAGTTTAGGTCACAATTCATGGTATTAACAAACCATTCGCTAACGCTACTAGCTTAATGAACTGCTAATTAGCTATTTATTAATAGTTGGTAGGGTTGAAGTTGGGTTTAGGTTTAAGGTAGGATTAGGGATGCAGAATCTGATCATCCTTGACCCTTTTGTGGGATGTAAACAAAATCAATGGTCCCAACGTATTTCCTGTTTTACATTTTTAATTTCTATAGCCTCCGAAAATCCAAAAAGAGCCACACATTGATAAATAATGCTATGATAGCTGTTTAACATTAAGTTATGATGGAATTGCCTTTTGTTACAGTTATGAAACATAGGGCTGGACGATTAAACGAAAAGTAATCAACATTCAGAATCTATAAACGATAAATTTTTTCAACTACTTTCCGTGTGTAAAGTCACAGAACCCTACTCTGTTAACACTTCAGTGTTGAGCACAGAATATTGTCTGTTACAGCCGTCACGCGGTCGTATACCCTTCGCCGTGACTGATGCCGACGCTGAGCTCTCAAAAAAATGTAACCCATGTTGCCAGATATTGCTGACGTTTTCCAGCCCAAAAGCGGTCCAAAACTCACCAAAACACACAAAAAACCCAAAATATTAGATTATTATTTAATTTAATTTTAATTTATTTAAATCAAAATGAACCTAGTTACTTTACTGTCATGTTTTTTAACCTTACAGCAACCAACACCAGCAGTCACAGAACCACAACATAAGCGGATCACTTTGAAACACTTATGTTAGAGGATGTTTTACTTTCATCCTATTCGGCGTTTGAATTTTTTTTAACATAATTATGTGCTGCTTGTCGATCAGACAACATTTCTTTGTTTGTTCTTGCTGTCAATTGTGGAAAAAAATGATCGATAAAAGTGTCATGATAAAGCGCTGCGAGTTTAACTGCAGGCGCTGTGTCATGCTCATGCATGCGAACGGGAGTGAGATTTGTCCGGGAGTCAGATTTTGATACAGCACACCACCTCTTGCGGGTGGGCCCACACGATTTGTGCTATGCACTGGTCACTACTAACTGAATGGAGCAGCGCACAGTTATATTTTGTTGTATAAGTTGCATATAAAAGTTGCTTTTCAAAACCGCCCAAATTATGTCAACCCACCTATGCTATTTTTTACACGCACCGGCCAATCTGGCAACACTGAATGTAACTGCACGTCGCGACGATGCATAGCGGAAGCTCTATGATTTGGTCAGCTTGGTAACGTTGATGAGTGTGGACGGCAGTGAGTGGGCAAAAAATAAATAAAAGAATCATTCAATAATCATTTTAAGAGTTAAAATGTTCAGTTAATCGAAATTTAGATTTTAGGCCAAATCGCCCAGCCCTAATGAAATAGTTTGACAACGAGCAGGAAATGTTCATGGGCCAATAACATGACCACATTGAAATGGTCTCAAACAGCTGTCCAAACTCCATCCTGGAGGGCTGGTGTCCTGCATATTTTAGTTCCAACCCCAATTAAACACACCTGAACAAGCTAATCAAGCTCTTTCTATGTATACAAGAATCATCAAGGAAGGTGTGTTAAAAGAGGTTGGAGCTAAACTATGCAGGACAGCGGCCCTCTGGGACAGAGTTTGGACACCCCTGATCTATAACTACTAATGAACAGTTAACATCTCTATAGTTGGTAGGTAATAAGCCAGTAGTTCATTGATTGAGTGGTGACCCAAACCAAAGTGTTACCAAGTAAATGTTATTCACGAAGTATATAAGAAACAGCTCTTCTAAAAGGGGTACAGACAAGTGTATTCACTGTTGTCTTATTCCAAGTTTCACATTTTTCATTGTGACGAATGATTGGTGATAATAGAAAAGAACAGTTCACCCAGAAATGAGATCTCTCTTTTTTTATTTGGTTTAACTGTTTCTTTAAGTAGCCAATGCATGGAAAGCTCCAAATCGTTAGCCATAGAAAAAAAAAAATGAAAGCTTCTGTGTATTATTATGCTGTGTCACCAGGGTTTTCCTGCAAAGTTTCCTGTTAAGACTGTGCCAAGGTACTTTCCAGAGCTCAAGGCCTGAGCAAATTAAAAAAAGGAAAACGAGTGGACTTGAGGGGAAAAAAGGAAGGAACATTGCTGAACTCCTTGTCCAGTTTATATTATCTAGATATCAGATAATGAGGATTAGAGGCTGTTGTGTTAGATTGAAGCAGCCGCCCCTTTAGGACTTTAAGAGATGGACTGCTGGCGTCCTCTGCTGTTTGAGTCTGGGTACTGCACTTAAAATGTTTTCCCTAGGTCAATCTAAATTTTTTATTTGGTGCAAAATAATCACTCGAAATGCACTTTTATCATCTAATATATATACACTTTCAGACCCTAATAACACAGAACTTTTTTCAAAGTAGAATTTTGCACTTGATGTACATATGCAAATGATTTCTACTATTTACTTTGCGAAAGATATGTGAATAATGCCCTTTAAATTTCTCCCTTTTTTAATCTTTTGGTTTACTTTTCTATTTTAGTGTGTTTGTATATAAGAGTGAGTTTGTGTTGGAAAAAAAATTGTAGGAAAAAAAAAAAAACCCTTGAGTTATCATTCCAGCAGTTCTTTTGACTGGGTCCATTTTATTGGGCTGCTGTCATTTTACGGTTGAGCTGAAATGTAAACATTTTGTTAAACTATAAACATCTATATTTTGAAGAAAACGATTTTAGAAATTTGCAAGTGAGTGGACTTTTGTGAAAAACTTGGAAGAAAATTATAAAAATGTAAATAACAGGATACAAAATACAGATTGCATTTTATCTGTAGAATGAAAAAAAAGATTTGCAATCTGAACAACTGTTGCAAAACCAGCTGTTGTAAAATATAGATATAGAATTTATTTTGTTTATAAAAGTGTATAATTTAAAGGTGTACATGTTTTTCCCTGTATGTTGCATTTTTCCAAGCAAGTTTTGTGGTTTGTTTTTGAAGCATAAATAAAAATGTTATGTTTACTTCTATGGCTGTTTTTTATTTATGAGCAATTTATCAGGATGTGTCAACTTGGAATGATAAGGTTCTGGCAGCGTTTTAAATAATTTTGAGATATTGAGCTTTAAAGTTTTTATGTTTCATATAGCAAACAATGTGTGTGACTGTTCTCTTTCATATATTAACATGACAGAGATCCTAAATGTACTCTAAATATTAATGATCAAAGTTTTCTTACATTTGCAAATTGGGGTAAAACAAAAACGGTAAATGCAGAACCTTAATTCTGATTTTGCAATTGAATTATAGATTCTATCTGGCTGGTTATTCATTGAAGCATTACTTTTCAAGAAATACAAACAAAAATTATATCATTTGGTGTTGTAACAATATGTTAATTTTTTGCTTTCTATAACATTTATTTCATCTTTTAGGATGATTTATTTATTTTTTGTACAAATTAAGCATACAAGGTTGTGCTTAATATTTTGTCCAGTGCATATGGTAATTTTATCTAATTAAGTTAATATTTATAAAATTTTATGCTGTATATGAACTATTGAATTATATTTAATTATATACCCCATGAATTAAATAAAGTATTTGTCCCATCAAGGCTTAATATTAAATTTAAAGACTTAAAAAAACAATGAGCAAATGGGTTTTATAAACACTGAAAACCGTTTCACTTACCATATACACAGAAATAAAAATATTTTACATTAAATATAGACTATTTTTAATATTCGTTTCCTTTTCAACAATGTAAAATTTAACATTCATCTCAAAATCAAAACATGCTTCTTAATCATCACATTTACACACTTTTTATGTGGTGTGGCATTATTTAGTCGACCCTGATTTTGTATGTCTCTCTGGTCTTTCCCACTGTCAATGTAGCAGTCTGGTGAAATAACAAAGATCAGCTGAGAAAGAATCTTAAACTAGAGTTCCACCAAAGAGCATAGAATCACCAAGAGGCGACACTCAAATGCAATTTGGAAAACAGCCACTAGATGGCGCGGCGTTCATTTTAGAATGAAAATTCTAGTACAGTGATCACCAAACTTGTTACTGGAGGGCCGCTGTCCTGCAGATTTTAGCTCCAACCCTAATCAAACACACCTGAACAAGCTAATCAAGGTCTTACTATGTATACTTGAAACATCCAGGCAGGTGTGAGGCAAGTTGGAGCTAAATTCTGCAGGGACACCGGCTCTCCAGGACCGAGATTGGTGCCCCCTGCTCTAGTAGAACAAGAGCATATTATAAGTATGTAAAATAAACTATTAAAAGTGCTGATGATTGTCATAGTGTGTTGTTTTGTCGTCTGTCAGGATGTACCTCAGCTTTAATTCGCTTTTTAAGTATATAAGTAAAAAACAAAGCAGCTGCTTGTCATAGCGACAGCAATAAGCGGCGGAATCCGGGGCTGCTGCTGGGCGCTGCTGTTGTAATGGAAAGAGTGTCACCTCTTGGTCATTCTAAGCTCTTTGGTTGCACTTTGTAGATAAACCGTTTTTGTTTTTTGAAATAAAAAGTCTTCAAATGTAAACAACTTATAAATAAAGTCACATAGCGTAAACGAGTTGTCATTTAATAAAAATATGTGGGGAAAACTCAATTTTTCCAAAAATGTGACCGAGGGTCACGTGTCAATTATTAATCAAAGTAATAATATCTTATTGTTTGTAATATACCAGTAAAAATTCTGCCCTTGATAAAAAAACACTTATTGTTATAAATAACGATAAAACCAGCCAGTGCAATGGTTTATTACAGTAGCACGTGTGCAATAAAAATGTCCGTTTATGATTGTGTTTACAAACAGATAAAGTAAAAGTGTGTCACTGAAATCCTCTTTAAAACATCCAGTGTTTGAAATCAGATCTGGTTTCATATCACAGAACGAGGAAGAAACCAAACTTTTATAATTTTCAATACAGTGATAAAGGCAAGGTCAGTGGACGGTTGCAACAAGACTTCATTCAGGAAAAAAAGTTGCTTTTTTTTTTTTTTTTTGTTTTTGGAATGTTCAGAAAAATTTCTCATACTTTCTCGTTTGTTTTTGTGAAACATTATTCCTTCGTATAATTTCAATCACTATTTTCTTAGCTTTAAATTGGTAAAAGCATTAAAGCTATTGTATCTCCCTAGCATAGACAATTTAATCAGAGTTGACAGAGTTGTGACATGCTGTTGAAACTCTCCAATTACTGAATTCATTTAAAAGCTACCATGTTAACAATGTACAATATTGCCTTTATCACAGTTTCAATGGAATTTAATTTGAAAAATGAATGAATTATTGTTTCATTAATTCATTCATTCATTTCAAAGTAGTTTAGTAAAGTTTCAGATTTTCAGTAAAAAATGTTCGATTTTTTTCGGGCTGATAATTGGTTGTTGCTTGTTTTTGTATTAGTCTGTATTTAAAAATTTACATTTAGTCTGCTTACTAAAAAAAATTAAAGCAAAATCCAACCTGATGTCTTAATTATTATTATAATTTTTTTTTGCATTTTAATGAATGTTAAAACCGCCCCCCTGCCCGAGGTCAGCTGCAACGTTTGACTTTAAGTTTAAATTCTGTATATATTATCATATACATACAGCCATTATGTCCAATAGGTGTGGGTTTATTATATTAAAATGTTGGGTTTCCACAAAAAAACCTTCTAGCTACTTTATGCTTATAAGATACAACGAATGGCTTAAAAAATTATCCAAATATTATCACAAGTGTTTATTATGTTAATATTTGATTCATTATTCAGTTTCTATAATCTTTATCCATACATTATTTGGCTAAATAACGTTAATAATATTACCGGCAAATATAAACACGTCATGTGAACTAGACATTGGTTTTCGTTGTACCTGTAGATCACAGTTGACAGTCACAGATACGTCTTGAATTCTTCTCAAAAGCAAAATACAAAACAAAACAAAACAAGACGTTAACCTACGTAGCGACACTGTAAATGTTACAGTTGCTTACTAACCAAGCTTACAGAGAAACTTTGCGCTCTACCTGTTAAAACATCGTGTTTCTTGCGGAAGAACATTGTAGCCGGATCTCACTTAAATGCTGGGTTACTCCGCAGGCAGTACCAACAGGTCTAAAATAGTCCAAACATAAAGACTTATTATAAGACAAAACCATCGCTTAAAGATGGATTCATCGTGTTTTTTTCTCATTAGATATATGTGTAATTGTAATAATTATATACCGTGGCTAGACCGAATGTTCTGTATGTTGTATTTTTCTTTTTAGCAGAAGCATATGACTTGCAGAAAACTGGTCCCTGCACATTAACGTACATACTATATCACAGTTTCATCTTGAATTATTCGTAAAAGAAAAATACAAAGCGACGTTAGCCTACATAGCGACACTGTAAATGTTTCAGTTGTATTAAACATACCATGACTCCAGCAATAGTATTACATTATTCTTATCTTACGTTAGATTTTACAAACCAGGCCTAGAAACGTGGCGCTCAAGTCACACTGTGGACTGGGTTACTCCGCAGGCAGCAACAGGTCTAAAACAGTCCTAACGTTAAGACTTATCGCTTAAAGATGACGCATTCTTTCTCATTACATATATGTGTAATTGTAATAATTATATACTGTGGGTAGAATGAATGTTTTGTTGTTTATTTTATGTTAGCAGACGCTTGTTTTCAGCTAATCGCACACCTGTATCTCTGACTGACTAGCAGTAAAATAGTCCCTGCACAAAAGCATTGAGGATGTTGCTCTGCATTGTGCTTGTTTGATTCCGGAAATCCTTAATAATAGTCTTCCTGTGCTTATAACGGGACTGAATGCAGGTCAACACCGTCCACAGGAGACAGGCAAAAGTTCAACGAGGAAACTCAAGTGTTTGACCGGAAAATTGGCGATACACTTCGGGTCAACAGAGGCTCCATCCTCGTTTGATATGCAAGTTACTCCAGAGGTGAAACAAAATGGAGTATGCGGTATGCAGTGGATAGGGGACAGGGATTTCACAAAATGTTTTTTTATTATACTTTTGGTTACAATTTTGACGATGATTGTACTTTAACCATTAAACATAATTAAGGTTTAGATTTGTTTTTCTCCACTGTCTAATTTAAAGGGGTAGTTTAAATTAGAATGCACCCTTAAAACTTACACCCAAAAATGTAACTTAAGTTTACTCACCCTCAAATGGTTCCAAATCTAGTAGTTTCTATCTACTGTTGGACACAAAATATGTTTTGCTGAAAGCAAAGAACCATTGGGGCCCCCGACCAATGCCAATAGCCTATATTAATCATTTAGCTCTTTTATTCACTTTCTATCATATGTTGATTAAGATAAAGTTGGTTTTATATTCACTCATTCATTCAGTGACAACTTGTTACACACTCCCTGTATTGTTTACCTCCGCACTTTGAATATTCAGTCTGAAATAACCTGCAAGTGTGACCTGAAAACAACATTAACACGGTTGTTGGACTTTGAGTCATTGGCTGCTAATATGATTTCACTGTTTAGAGTTTGCAAATAATACTTTTATTAATTAAATTATATTATTAAGGAGAAACCCCGAATAAAAAAAACAAATTTACCACTATCATATGTTGTAATATCGGTCTATAATCATTAAGGTTTTTATGGTATTACTTCTTTTTAAAACGTGGGGTCCCCCATAAATAATGGAACTTTTCTGTCGTGCACATGCACATTTTAAAATCTAATATGCTAATTAACTGTACATATAGTTAGTTTGTGAAGTTGTTTTAATATTTGTGAGTTTATAGTATAAAATTTTACATTAATAATGTAAGAAGGTTCCACTTAAAATATATTTTTAACAGTTTATTTTCAAAAATAAATAAATCTAGAGGAAAAAAATAACTTAGGGCCTACTTAATAAGTCCGTCCCTGCTTCTGTATAAGCAACACATACACAGCAAATTCATCAGAGTTAAATTCTCGGTGTTGAAGCATTTCAGAGTAAAGTGTTGACGTTAAAGAGTTAGATTTTGATA